TTGCATTCGCAAATAAATTAAATTTAACCATAAACGTACAGCACGCTATAGTATGCGTGTGATTTATTATAAAACGCGATATACGCACGCAGTAAAACAACAGATTGGAGATCATGTTAATTAGGGTGTTAAATAAATAATTTTGGTAGTTCAGGATGAATTTTTTCGTTGGTGAATTGTAGCAAGTTAGAAGTTTTAGTAGCCATTTTTTTGCTTATTAATAAATTTCTTTGTGATGAAAAAGACTATAGAAAATGAATGAATACTTTGTAGGAAATAATTGCAAGAAAAAAAATTTTTTATTAAACGATTAATTGATCCTGGATTCTTTAATACATGAATATATATGTATTTACTATGATAACAAGGATTTTTAAAATCAATTTATATTAAAACATAGAAGAAATCCGTGGTTTTTGTAAGTATATAAAGGCCAAGGTTGAGATTGATCTTTTCAAAAAAAAAATAACAAAATAACAAAATAACAAAATAACAAAATAACAAAATAACAAAATAACAAAATAACAAAATAACAAAATACAAAATCTTTTTTCTAAAAAAAAAAAAAAAAAAATTTAAAAATCAAATTTAAAAATCAAATTTAAATTAATAAAATTAATAAAATCAATATTTTTTTAAAAAACTTAAATGCCAACATTAAAAAATAACAAAATGACCACAACAATAGAACATCATTACGTCGACTGCTGTGAAGAGCCATTTGATTGTAGCTTGATCGGTGTTGAAAATGGAAGCGATAAACCATTGAGCGTGCTTCTTGAATATCTTCACGAAATAGGACCCGGATTTTTCAATGATAGGACAACAGCAGATTTGGAATTGAGGATTAATGGAATGAATCAATCGTTCTGGGTCCATAAAGAATATCTAGTCACACAATCCAGTTACTTCCGAAAAATTTATCAATATGCAAAGCCTAATGATTCGGCCATAATCCCAGATTTACCAGATCCATCGAGCTTCGAACTAATCTTGGAATATTTGTATACCGGAGATGGTGATAAATTATACGATCTCATGAATATCGATAATTATGACAATATTTGGCAAAATATGGAATATCTTGGATTAAGTGTCGAGGCGAAAACTATTTGTATTGCATTCTATCAAGCAAATGTCGAGGTTTCTATTTAGGGTTTATAATTAATTTATTGTAATTTATTTTATTATTTTAATTCTGGCAAAATTATTTAAAATTTTTGGCAATCGGCAATTTTTTTAACTCGATTTCACGGTAATTTCGATTTATTTTTTTTTTTTAATATCTTTTCGCTTTAACCTATTTTTTTTTTTTCGGCAATATGCAAACAAACAAACACAATTTTACTTTTTATGTTTTATTGGATTTTTAATTTATGGCTTATGATTTATTTAAAGAGTTTTCGCGAATTCTTTTTCTTAAATTCTTAGGAAATTTTATGGCAAATTTTATTTTTGAATTTTTATTAATATAATTTTAATTTTTTATTTTCAAACTTTTTTTTATTTCAAATGTATTTTTCTTTATTTTGTATTACTATTTTTATTTATTTAATAAATTTTATATTTTTCTTTACTATTTAAAATCATATTTGATAATAATAATTGACCATCTAATGCCACACATATATAACTAACAGTTACAGGACATCGCAGATCAAGTGTCATATATATATGTAAAAATAAAAATGTACAGTCATTTTAAAACAATTAGAACTGCATCATTAAAGCTTTTTAATGATATTTTATATTGAAAGGGGTTCTCTAAGTAAAGCCACGACTATTCGAAACCTGTATCACGTTTCTACTTCAAAACAATATTATCACTTCAATTTTACTTTAAATGTCTTAAAAAAATTGGTAATTTGAATGAATGAGAGATCGGCCGGGAAAAACTCTTTTGACAAGAACAAACTTTATATTCTTTTTATAAACAAGCAAGTTAAACTAAAAAAAAAGTTTACCCAAGATTTGAACCTCTATTATTATTCTTTTCAACCACCGGAAATTTAGGGACAATTCTTTAAGTTATAGTTCTGATATTGTAAATGTGTAAATGGAAAACTCAGTAGGCAACTTCCTCCTCGCCCTAAAGTTTCCATTGCGCCACATCATTTGGAATGCAGAGCTCAGAATTAACCCTTTTCTGAATAAAGGATAATTTAATAATAATAACTTGCGAGAAGGATCAATGAAACTATCAAAGAAATCTCAGAGGTAAAAAGTGACAACTACCAAAACTAGAAAAATTTCATTACTACTAATAAATTGAATTGTGATAATTTTGAAATGTTTTCTTTTTCGAGTAACATCACCATCTCCAGATTTTCTGGTCCAATTATTAGTTTGACGCGTACCAGTAGTAAAATTTTGCATTATATATTAACAACATACGAGATTGCAAATACTAAATCGAAAATCGATTGGCTAATGTTTGTGCAGGGAAACATGGTGGGAGCGTTATTAACTCATGATATATTTAACCCCCAAATAATATGATTAAGCAATATAAGAGTGTCATTTTGGGTTATTTAATGTATATCATATGGTGCGGGAACTTTTAAACCACCATTTATTGCGCCTCGTGGCCAAATTTCAATGTGTCAAATTTTAAAATTTTTCAATCCATCAATGCAATAATAATAATATTTTTAACACAACATCAATTTAAAAATATTGACGTTAATGTTGCTGTTACACGATTTTTTAACTTTTTAAAAAAGGATCTGTAGATGTCATAATTTCCGCCCAAATTTAAGCGGCCAAATTCCTCGCGAACATAGTAAAATATATGTACATATGTAAACTCGATAAGTCGGTCACTCGATAAGTCGGTTTACTCGATAAGTCGGCCATATGAGCTCACACCCACATGACCGACTTATCGAGTTTACATGTGTACTAAAAAGAAATAGAACTCAACAGCCCATCAATATTTTGAAAAAAACTCTCTGCCACGTTAAAGGTTAGGTCCTAATATATGTCATAACAAGCTATTTTTTAAAAAATGATATACATAAATGAACTTCTATTAAAATCACATACAGAATTAGTGGTTTAAGAGGACCTGCATCATACTATCCTGATAGATAATTTTAATTAATATACAAATTCATAAATTTTTCTTAAGCTATTTTACAATTTATTTAAAAAAATGATAACACAGTCAAACCTTGTCACAGCGGATGAACGGGACACATTATAAAATTTTATTTTAAAATCCGTTATAGCAAGATTACTAATTATAGTCTGCTGTGGCAAGGTTTACTAATTATAGTCCGCTGTGAGAATGTTTGACTGTAAAAATAGGACCCTGAAATATCATTAGATAGTAACAGGTTTGCGTATTGAAATTTGCCGAAAATTTGCAATTTACTATGTAAAAATGCCATAAAATAAAAATAATCAATTGATATTATATTGTAAAAAAAGTAAATATACTGTACAAATTTAATAATTGTTATTGAACAAAAAAAATTATTTGAAGTAATTCTTACATGTAAATTTAGATAAAAGCAAACCGGGGCATATTCCTTGATAAACAGCTGTCCGAAATTAGAAGTTTATTACATATATTCCTATGGTTATTATCAAGAAGTTTGGTATAAAAGTTAGTTACAAGATTTCCAAGGAAATTCCTCTTTTTTAAAAATAATACGATCGTGTATCCTACCGAGATTTCAATTCTAAACTAGATAGATTTTCCTTTATAGCAAATTTAAAAGGGGTTCTTAACCAATAATTTAAAGGTAGAAACAATTCACGATGGCCTTTTCTCTTCAATTATACAACAACTCGTGAATAATTTAAAATGTGTTTATTTATTATTATTAATTAATTAATTATTACAAAGTTATTATTACGTGTTTGAAATTCCTCTAACGAATTCAAGATATTTAAATACTTCTTGGAACGTTTTGGAAGTCACAGGCCTTTCAATAGTTTATGTGCATTGGAATTGAACTTTAAACCATTCCAGCCAATAAAATTCAATAATAAAAACGAAATTTTATCGAATTTTCTGTTTTAATATAATTAACTAACGTTAAATACTTTTAATAAAAAATTTCCCATTTTGAAAAACAGTTGATTAAAAAATAATACATGATAAAAGAAGATTTATTAATTAGTATTAATTGGTTTATTTGTTTCTCGTCTGACAAGAGCTACATGAACATACATACTTTACAAACAAAAAGCCACAAGTTAAATCTTGTGTTAATGTTTTGAGTGCCAAAGAATGGATGCAATTTTCAATTTAACAGATAACGAAGATGAAGAAGATAACGTGAAAAGTAAACGACATAAAGATTGGAATTGGAAGTTCCAATCCATTTCAATGTCGCATCACTGTTTTGGAGTTCACAAACATACTTTGATGACTAACAGCAAAAAGTACCTACCTACCTCTTGATTAAGAACGATCTTAATTTGTGTAACAATGTATTTAAAAATAAATCCATATTGTACAATAATTCTGGTAATAGCAATTAGTAATAGTAACTAATTTTGATAGTTATTAATAAAGATTTTTTTGTGTAAAGTTATATTTTCACTTTTTTTAGCAAATTCTTAAAATAGGTCTAATTATTTATGTAAAACAATCAACATGTAGATCATCCTGGAATTAGCGCAATTATAATTATGTCATTCTCCCGTTTCATATAAATTGAACCCTGATTTTTTTTTTTGTGAAAAAAAAAAAATTTTTTTTTAAAAATATACATATATTGCTGAAGTTTTTTTTTCTATTATTATTATTATCAATTAACTATAATCAAAGAACCAAAATGAATAAAACAAACCCAAAAATATTGATGGCATTTATAATACTCCTGATAAGTCTTATTTTCATCCTTCAGTTTGCAAGCCCGATTCAATCAACTAATATTGTTGGACATTTACAAAAAAGACAAGATAGTAATTAACATTTGTTTATTTTCTTCATTTTTATTTCTTGAACAAAAAATGATATTTATTTATCCATTTTTATGGCACCATCACCACCAAAACCATTTTTGTTTTATTCCTTGAATCAAAAAAATAATATTTTATTTATTCATTATTTATTTTATAGCACCAGCACCCAAACCTGACAAGCCTGACCCACCACCAAAACCTGACAAGCCTGACCCACCAAAACCTGACCCACCAAAACCCGACCCACCAAAACCCGACCCACCAAAACCCGACCCACCAAAACCCGACCCACCAAAACCCGACCCACCAAAACCTGACAACCCTGATCCAAATACACCAAAACCTAATGATCCAAATACACCAAAACCCAATGATCCAAATACACCAAAACCTAATGATCCAAATACACCAAAACCCAATGATCCAAATACACCAAAACCTAATGATCCAAATACACCAAAACCCAATGATCCAAATACACCAAAACCTAATGATCCAAATACACCAAAACCCAATGATCCAAATACACCAAAACCTAATGATCCAAATACACCAAAACCCAATGATCCAAATACACCAAAACCTAATGATC